TTCTTCAGTTGCTATAAGTTCAGGTCATTGGCTCTTAGACAAACTCAGATTCCCTACCATGTTCTGGAACTCTGATGTGCAAGGAGCAGTCCCATCAAGGCCTACTGTGGCTCATAACTCTGAGCAAGGCTTATGTCAAGCGTGGGAGTATAGAGAACCCATCACAGAGCCAATGTTTGGTTTTAATGAGAAAGTTATGATTTCTAGGTATATCCAAATTTCTGTGAAACATCCTTGTACAGCCCTACCATATGCCATAGCAGTGTCACTCATGAACTTCAAATCACTTGAGTTGTATGATTTAAAAAGCATAGCTAGGCTGTCAAAGTGGTTGTTTCTTACAAATTTAGAGGAATGGAAATCTGGCTGATTTGAAGGTGTGATTAAGTGAAGTGTTTGCAGTCACAGAAAATTGCTGTAGACCAAAACCTAGTTTAGATCAAAACAGCATAAAATGTGGTTCCACCAGTGTAAATTTCGTTGTGAAAGACAGGTTCACAGACTTGTTTTTACCAACAGAGGTGAAACCAAAAAAAGTCTCTGTGTGTGTGAATGTTAGGTACAAACAAGTTCACTAAGTGTCTGTAGTCAGCACATCTTTATATTGTCTCATGTTATGACTAAATCAACAAAGTTACTCATCTGTTCATCTTTTCAGCTTTTTTTTTTTTTTTCTTAATTCAAGCCATTAGGGTAGTTACATGGTATGACACAATTGTTTTCACTCCCATTTATAGGTAAAAAATACTACTCACTTAAAGAGCAGGGAGAAAAAAAAAATTGCAATTATTTGTACATTTATGAAATGGAAAGTATTTGCAAGAACATTTTCAGATGATACTTTATTTTCCACCTGCATTCTTCCATTTACATTGAGAAAGATTTGAATTTCATGTCCTTGGAAGTCTGGTTTCTGGGTTTGCAAGCATAGAAAAGTAACATTGTTTGGATAGTAAAATTTTTTGAGCATAATAAAAAAGAAGAGTTAACTTTAAAATAAACCTGAAAGCAAGAAAGTTTAGCAGATTGCTTCCTAATTTATTCCTATTCTTAAGAATTCCTATTATGCAGAATTATTTGTGTCTGCTTTATTTATTTCACCAGGAAATATTTCAGCTTTAAAGAGGGCAGCACTCTCTTCAAATGACTCCAGCTTTTACCTAATGATCCAATAAGTTAGTGATTGTTTGATGTGTGCATATTGTGTTTCAGTGGGAAGTTGCCAAGACTTTTATTGAGTGGTAATATTTTCCCCTTGCTGGTTTTGGATTTCTCTGAGGATCAGCAGTTAACATACCATTTTCTGTTACAATTTAATTGAAGTGCCAGATATTTGTTTTTCCTTCATTCAATTTCTTAAATTGGGTAATCCCTTAAAAGGCTATCTTAATATAGTAAATGCACTACCTCTGTGAATGAAGTATGCTGAATGATACATGGACTTTTGCCATTAGGTCTTTGTACGAAAGACTTTTTACATCACGTTTACATCCTAGCAGAAGTAATCTTAAACAGTAAGTTACAGAACAAACTAGTCTGCTGTTCACAAGTGCAAGGCTTGCTTACATATGTAGAAATATCCATACACCAAAAATAACAGAAATATTTAGAAAATCTTTAAACTTAGATGATTGATCTTAAGTAACTATGAACTGGTCTGTGTCCAGTTTGGTAAGCAGAATTATGTAGGTTTATACTGAAGATCTCAGTAAAATAAAAGGGCTGTGAAAATGATCAGTTTTAGTTTTCATTAATTTTGCTTCCACCTCTGAACCACCGTAATGGCAAGAGAATTTGATTGCTGTATTTTTATACCCCAGTGACTTGCTGGGGTCTGTTAATAAAAAGTTGTTGAAACATTGCAAACCTATATGGCTTAGGCATTTTGTTATTAGCTTGTTTGTTTGCAGGTTGACTGCTACCCTCAGCCTTCATGGATTATGTCCTAGTTATATTGTGCAGTCTTTTTTTTTTTTTCTTTTTTTCTTTTAATCAAGCCTAAAACCCACCACAACTCTCCAGGTAGTTCAGAGCCCTTGATTCCAAAAAAAATATAAAATTTCTGCAGAATAAAATACGTCTCTGAGGACCTTTTCTATGTGAAACATGAAATTATAATTGAAAAAATATCTAAAGAAATATTTTTGATGTGGTTTCACCTGCCTGTATGTGGTAGTCCATAGAAAGGAAAATATGTAACAGATTAAATACAAAACACAGACAAAATATTTAAAACTTCTTCCTTTGATATGCCTTTAAAAGCACCACTGAGTGGGCTAGCAATTTACACACTAACACCTGGAGTCTGTTTTAGCACAGTCATCCAGTAGAGCTTATCAACAGATTCACAGAGAGCTAAAACCTAGAGAATAAAAAGCTCAGATGCAGTAAAATACTACTGGATCAAAGTAGAAAATAATCTGTAATCCTTGATAGTAAGCCCTCTAATACATGCTAAATGCTTTCCTAATTTGACTATAAAGGAACTTATTTTGGGACCATTATCAAATTCTGACAGACTATGATCTTTGATTTACTGTAATATTTTTAAAATAATATAGATAATATTTTATTATTAGGTTTAAATAGTTTATTTATGCACTGTTTCTTTTGGACCCCTGTGGAGCTTGTAGAGCAATTCTGTCAGATGCAATAGAGATGACCAGTAACAGACAGTTTTAAGCCAATATTATGTAACCTAAGTAGACAAGAAGTAGTGGAACCAGAGAGAAGAGATAGTGAAATCTTATCTCAAGGCAGCAAGGATCACAGCCAAAGAATCACTCAGGTTTCTTCCACATCTGTCGCTGGATTGCTGGATTGGTAGGCCATATCACTCTTGAGGGATGATTCTTTATATAAAGATATATAAAGTATATCCTGTTGTGCTTTGATACGTGTAGGCACATCTATAAAAACCTAGGTGCTGGGTGGAAATTTCAGTCTGCTGTTGAGTGGAAATTTAAGAAATATTGGAAGTAATTAACATTTCTTACTTTAAAACATGGTCACTTGTCTTGGATTTTCTTTTCTTTTTTTTTTTTTTTTTGTGGGACTTGATTTTGTCTTTCTTAGAAAATGATGTAATATTTGTAAATAATGCCTTGAATAAATTGTTTCCAGGTACATGGAATCAATGTGGTTGTTTACCAAGCAAAAATTTCATTGCTGAGAAAAAGAGTACTGCATTTAAGACTGAAAATACGAAAAGGATGTAATTTTCATTTGTCTGCTAGTACAAGAATATTTCCTGCTGAATGCTTAATTATGGGTTGACCAGATTAGTCTAAAATGCTTTTATTGCCTAACCACTCCCAGTTTTGAAGATGAGAAAATCTGTTGGCAGTCTTGACAGAAAGGGGAAACATACAGAGCAGAAGCATTGCTTGCTCCTCGTCCATCCAAGATGACCAATTAAAGCATCCTATTTAGCATACTGAAACTAAAGAGTCAAGCTATTTAATTTGTTAATGTTGCTATTAATTATGTATCAAGCATTGACAGTATATTAAATTGTGTATAGGATGCAAAGGACAGACACGATTCCTTCCGTAAGAGCCTGCAGTTTTAACTGCAACAATCATGCAGATCCCACCAGTACATGTGAGCAGCCCCAGAGGAAGGTCCACCTTAAGAGCAGCCTGGGAACTTCATTTGATTTATTTATGTAGAGGCTATTCTGGTGACACAGAATTTGCAAGAGTACACAGGATGATTGATAGTGTTGAAACCTAGGTATGTAACCTTACAAGGTTCTATGAGCTATGCGTTAGAGCTGATATGCAAAGGTGTCTGAAGGGAGGAGAGAAGCGAAAGAGTATTTTCCCTCAATTAGACAGAATCCATTATAAATTCACAGCTTCTAGACTAAACTATGACCCATATTGCCTTTTTTTTTTTTTTTTTTTTAATGTGACAATATTTACATAAAGGAGCCAGGAGGCTCTCCTTTCTGTAGGAGACTACAGCAATATTTGAGGCTTCTAGCTGATCTTTCTTCAGTGTATTCTTGCACAGCAACTGCAGTTACTTCCTGTGATTGCCATGGGTACTTCCAATAATGGGTACCAAAAATAAAAGTTTGACATAGTGATATTTCCCTAACTGGTACCTGTAAACACTGATATGTATATATATATATTTGCAGAGAAGATTTCTAAGCCATGTGCATACATGAATTAAATGTATTTCTGGAAGCAAGAAAAATAGTGTATTCTGAATTTCAATAAAGAAACATCTAAATTCTTAAGCATAGACTATTAGTTCTGATGAATCATATGCTTGTGGTGTGAGACTTAATATTCACATTGGCAGAAGATCTGGCCTTTTTGATACATAAGTGTTATATTCAAGTAAAACATCTGAACTACTATAACATTGTATATTAAAATCTGTGTTAAAGTTACCATTCTGCACTTTACACCACCAAATTTAGTAAAAATTTACTCGGGTGTATATATTTTATATGTTTCCGTTTTAGTTGAAGTGTTGCAAATGACAGTAGATCATTTTATTTTTAATTATATTCATCCTGCTAAAGTCTTTTCAGCATTATGTATCAACAAGTGAGCAAAGTATACTGAATAATAGCATACATGTATGAAATTGGTGTTACTCTAGATTACAGTATGGAAAAAAATGGGAAATGACTTCTGAATAAACGAGAGCTGAAGGAATGTTGGATTCAAAATAAACAATCCACACTTCAGTACAAAGCCATATTGTTTGTAATATAGTACGTTACTATTTTTTTTTTTTTACTTGCTGAAGATTTCTCCTCACAGAAACTCAGCAGATAAGTAATTGAAAGAAGCTGCATAAGTACTGTATATACTGGTTATAGGGGGAAATATACATAAATTATGATGAAGAACCTGAAAAGCCTGAAGACTGCTTGGTTTTAATTGGTCTGTTTAAATCATATTAATCAGATTGGACCCAAGTAAAGGAAACAGTGCTGTTAATTTAGGTCAAAGCCTAATGATTTTTTGTCTTTACAGCACCAAGCAGTCTCAGACCAGCAGGCAGTCACAATAATGTTTGATGCATGATGGAGAGTACTACAGGATTTACAACTGTTACCAGGTAAAAATAGTAACGTATCATTTATTTATGGAAATTATTTCTGGGTTTCTTACTTCTAGGTATAAATCACAAAATCATGGAAACATAGAATGATTTGGGTTGGAAGGTACCCCAAAGATCGTGTAATCTTAGAAGTATAGAATGGTTTGGGTTGAAAAGGACCCTTAACAATCGATCATCTTGTTCCAACACCCCTACCATGGGCAGGGACACCTCTCACTAGACTGGGTTGCTGGGATGGGGCATCCACAGCTTCTCTGGACAACCTGTTCCAATGCCTCACCACCCTCATCACAAATAATTTCTTCCTAATATCTAATCTAAGCCTACCTTGTTTTAGTTTAAAACCATTACCCCTTGTCCTGTTGCTACACTCCCTGATAAAAAGTCTCTCCCCATTTTTCCTGTAGGCCCCCTTTAAGTGCTGAAAAGTCAGTATAAGGTCTTTCGCTCTCTAGACTGATCAACTTTCTCAGCCTCAGCCTGTCTTCAGAGAAGTGCTCCAGCTCCCTGATCATTTTTGTGGCCATCCTCCTGACCCATTTTAAAAGATTTGTGTCTTTCTCATGCCCCAGAGCTGAACTCAGTACTCCAGGTGGGGTCTCACAAGAGCAGAGTAGAGGGGAGAATGAAGGTGAAGTCTGGAACAAAGAGCTCTCAATAGAGAAAAAGAGAAGGTAAGTACACTGTGGAGCATATTGAGGGATCTATAAATGATTCTTTAACAATCCTTTTAGTCACTTCAGACTTTCCAGTTCCTAAAGGAAAAGTAGTGAGATACTGTGACAGGGGAATAAAGTGGAGAGGCAGGTTAGCTCTTTTTACTAACATTTTCATTTCTCAGTAGAGAACTCTAGATAGGAAATCTTTCTTTTGGGTTGAAAAGTCAAGATCCTTCTTCTCAAAAATGCTAAATTTACCTTTTCTTAGAGTGTACTATAAATGTTACCAGCCTTATTTTAAAAGCTCAGTAACCTAGATGTGGGATAACCAATTTCTGCACCCGGAGAGAAGAGCCATAGGGATTAGGGTCAGTGACTTTTTTTTCCACCAGTAAGATGTTAAGTGTCCAATTGTAATTATAAAGTTTTGATGGTGGATCATCTCTCCTATTACTGGGCTAAGAAGGGGCAGAGATCCGCCAAATAAAGAAAAAAAAAAAAAAAAGATAAGTAAGGTGAGATGATCCGATACCATGAATGAATTAGGAAGCTTATTTGTTTCTTAAGTCATGCTCCATGAAATGCTTATAAGGTGGTTATAACCCTTCCCCAGAAGCTGAAAAATGAGTGGTGGATTCAGTGGAAAATACAAAATGAAGATATGAAATTAAAGCCTAATAATGCACACGCACAAGGAGGGTGAATTAAAGTTACGCTGGTATCTCATAATTTTTGACTCCTTAACTCTAATATCCATTTTTTCAGGTCCCGTTCATATTAGCTCAACTGTACAAGTATTCCACACCTTCATTTATATATGAATTTAATGAATTTTTAGATACTTTTTTTTTCTTTTCCTGGCAAATGTTTAGAAAAAGGAAGTAAATCCCAAGAATCTCATTTCGGTATTGCACATTTTCTTCTGCCATATATCAACAGTTATGTCACAAGAGAATACTATGAAAATAAACATTTAAAAGGGTTACATATAAAGCACAAAATGTCTTTTGAAAAATTCTGTAACCTGATTTTGTTTCTGATTTAAGACATGTGAATGCTGCCTTTTCCCAACAGCAAAAACTCTCTGTGGAGAAAAGAAATGAAGACCAAATCAAACATTCAAATCTTTTTAGTTTGCACAGCATGTTATACTTCATGCAGAAGGAGCCACTTGAAATTCAAAACAGCACTTCATACTTAATCACCTTCCACACTGCACAGGGTGTGCTAACATTTGTGCATATTTAAGGAGCAGTTACATACATGGGAATGAAGAATTATTTGACACTAATAAAAACTAATACCCATGTGGGTTACACAAGACTACAGCCAAATAAAAAGCTTCAAACTTTAAGGATATTCTTCTGCTTATAGGGACACCAAATTTTTACTGATGCATGAGTGCATCTGAAGACAGAACTGAGTCCCCCATTTCAGAGAACTTCAGCTGACAGGCAATGTACAAAAAGTGGACATGATAGTTTTGTGTTGAACTGTGTATAGCTAAGCTGATGTATTTTAGGTGGTCTTAATAGATACAAGTGAGATGACAATCTGTAAACACAATGAAGAGTTAGAACCATTGCTTAATTTCACTGATTTAGTCATAATATTGGATCAAGTAACTCAGAGGGTCACAGTCTCTCTTCAGAGAGAAGCCCTAATGGATTCTATGGTTTCCCTGGGCAAAAATTAATTTGGATTGAGTTTGTAAAGCAAATATTGCCTGAGTATATGAAGAGACATATTCTGACACTTTCATATAGTATGCATTTGAAGAAAATCAGTTAATTCATAACAATTATGATATATTTTTTTGTACATAATATTAGATCCTATAAATAGGAGTATGTTAATAGATTTCTTTGGCAGTGGAGGATTTTCTTATGTGCAGTACTTAATAGCATTTAATCCAATCAAGGTTAAAAGTCCAAATGATGGAATAATAGGTAATTCTGTCTCTTCAAATATCTGTGCATTGTCCAGATTTATTATTTTTTATTTTTTAAAAGTTCCTTTCAATATCTAGTTTTCAGTAATTCAGCAAATGAATTGCATTTTTATATACGCTTATTAAAACCTTGGAGGAAAATATCCCTTTCATACTGCACCTTATTGAAAGGCAAATATGGTCTTGGTCTTCTTACAGAAATCATATCTATACTCTTTGGGATTATCTTTAACTCATTACAGATAAGAGGTTTTTGATACAATATACTCTATTCTATACTTTTTAATAGAAAATGTAAATGTTCATTCCTTATCAAAAGTGTCATTCATAACATTTTTATTTAGTTTTCCTGCCAATTAAATCTATTCTTCTGAAAGATTTAATATATGTGGTAATTATTTTGAATCTTGATTAAATCATTCTGCGCATAAAGAAGTAAGAACTTCAGCTAAGTTTTTCACACATCTGTATATCTTTCTCTCTCTTGCTCTCTCTGTGCATGTCTCAGGTCCTGGGTGGATTCAAGGTGATAAGCCCTTGAGAAAAACATAATATGATTATCTTTCAGAGAGGTGGTAGAATAAATAAGATTATCCATAACAAGCTTAGTCACTGATGAGTTCAAGCTGTGCTGATACAGAAAGTCTTGACACAATTGTAAGGTAGTAACAGAAAAAGTATGTGCTTGCAAAGGAAAGAATAGTGCTTGAACTATGAAACCTTCCATGATTAATTCAAATGCACCTATGGCCTTTTACATGGAAGCTTCACTACATTTTCCAAACCTCTTTGATAGAATATTCAATTGCAGACTTTAAGTCTCTTAATGCACATCAATATTATTTAATGTGTGAGCATTTTAAGCTAAATTAATTGATTAATTTTTTGACTGGTTTTAAGGATGTTTTAACATTTGTCTGAGTTTGGAGTTATCCCTATCTGTGTTTGTGAATTAATAGTTTTGATGAATTATGTTGATAAGTAGGTTGTGACAATAAGCCTAAGTATGCAGGCTGTCTTCCTAAGCTGTGAAGACAGCTACTTAATGTCACCTACACTAATCTTACTATAGGGACGTATATTTCTTTGTATTTTTTTAGGTAACATCTATTTTTGAGTTTCTTGTTTTAATCCATGTTTAACTCCAGTGTACAAAACTATATACAACTAAAACAGTATACAGTAACTCCATATACAAAAATCAAAAGGTTTCTTCAGTATCAAAAACAAGTATACAGTTTCAGTCAATATAAAACAAAACATAACAAAACAAAAAGTGTTGTTTATTTATTTATTTATTTTTATTTATTTTTTAAATACTGGTAACAGAACCAGCTTGCTACAACTTGATTTCCAGAAGCTTAGTGTATAGGTTTTTTTAAACACCACTGGCTATTTGGTCATGTCATAGTGTAGACGCTCTGAGGCTGGAGGCATTTTTGACTAAAGAATCCAGTTTTAGATAACCAGTTTAGAGCCTAAGAAAATCCTCTAGGTCAAGATAAAATCAATTTATTTTTTTTTAATAAATGATATCTGTTGTGGGAACTATGTGATTTTAGAGACATTGTTACTTTGGGCTATCCACTGTGCCAAGGAAGAAAGTATTTTAATTAAAAGAAGCAGTGTCTATACAGCTCAGCTGTAAGCTGATAACGAACAGAAAATATTTGTTTATTATTAATATAATACAGGTAAAATGCATAATTGTTATGACTCTGCAATTAAGGTATGTGAAATAAACATCTGTGAAGAAAGTAAAAGATCTAGCTAAGGAACAAAAAAAGACACATTGAATAAATTGATCAATATTCTGTTGAATTTATTAAAAAAAAAAAAAGAGTATAAAGAAGTCAACAACTGAAAGAAGAGAACCTAATGATACTGTATTGCAGATTTTATATTCTAGAGTTTCATTCTGTTACAAAATATTGGAAGAGATGTCAGAACTTTACCTGTAGTTCATCACAAGTCGTTATATACTGTAAGGTTGTACTTAGCATACATCTTTTTTTTTTTTTTTTTCAGTGATACCATCTAATTTAAATAAAGATCATCTTGATTTCAAGCATCTTGAATCTAGAACTCTTAGCAGTCTTAGAACAACAGTTACATGCTTAGCAGGGTGTAACAAAGATTCTATTCCAGTAGTAAAAAGAAGGGTTTTTGACTGATTAGATTTTTTTTTCTGCAGTGTTTGTTTTTATTATCAAGTCTCTAATCTTCATGTGTTAAAAACTGTTGATCCCTGCAGAGCCATACCTTTTTGCATAGCGATGGAATTAACTTCAGCGTCATATTTCCTTGTTAATCCAAAGCTAGTTGTTACTGTTTTTCTTTTTCCCTCTCTGTTTTCCTTTTTGCTTTCACTTTTTCTTTCTTTTTCTTGATTGTGCTCAGGAAAGAACCATATGCGAACTCCTCTACCATTCAGTAGATGCATAAGGTAAAACTTTATTATTGCTTTTAACTGTCCTTTTAAAATTATATCTCTCAATCACATAAAAAATAAACTCTTTTGAGTTTGTTTTAGGACAAAAGTCTATCAGAAGAGAAGCAAGTGTAGGGGACCCATTTCTATTTTGTTATCTTCCTGTGTGAATCAGAAACTGACACAATTCCTACTGTTTCTAAAGTGATACGTAAATGTAAAAGCCTTTAAACAGTTTATAGTAGAAAATGAAGCATAATATATTCACATCTTTATGTGTTCATATATTTTTGTTTAAAAAGGTATGCTGAAAGTGTATATCTCATATCCATTTTTCATATGCAGTGATATATTTGCAGTTACGTAGTGTGAGTAAAGCCCGAATCAGACTCCTCTTGTTCAAAGGAACTAACAAGTTGCTGTTAGTAGAACACTACTGAGGCTTTGGACAGCCTGTTCATTAGTCTCTGCAGAGAAATACTTGGCCATATAGACAATCAACATCCATGGTGAGGTTACATAGCGGCCACCTGGTACTCTAATGAGATTGAAAGCAATTAAAAATAATTACCACCACAAACTCATTAAAATTCTGTAGGTTTACTTAACTCTGGCCCTTCATAATTACTGCAG